GGATGTGTCCCCAATATCCCCAAACACTCAGGTGAATCCCAGGGGTGTCCCCAATGTCCCCAATGTCCCCAATGTCCCCAAACACTCAGGTGAGTCCCAGAGGTGCCCCCAGGTGTGTCCCAGTTATGTCCCCAAGGGTGTCCCCAATGTCCCCAGGTGTGTCCCCAATGTCCCCAGGTGAGTCCCCAGGTGTGTCCCAGGGGTGTCCCCAATGTCCCCAAAGGCCCAGGTGTGTCCCCCAATGTCCCCAATGTCCCCAACATCCCCAGGTGTCCCCTCAATGTCCCCAAGGCCGTACCTGGCGCTCCCTGGGCGTGGTCCGGGCGTGGCCCCTCAGGCACTCGGTGGGCGTGGCCTGCTCCCTCAGTCGTTTGGTGGGCGTGGTCCGGGCGTGGCCCCTCAGGTGTTCGGTGGGCGTGGCCTGCTCCCTCTGACGCTTGCTGGGCGTGGTCCGGGCGTGGCCCCTCAGGTGTTTGGTGGGCGTGGCCCGGCCCTGGCGCTCAGTGGGCGTGTCCCAGTGCTGGGTGGGCGTGTCCTGGTGGGTGTGGTCCCTCAGGTGGGCGTGGTCCCTCAGGTGGGTGTGGTCCCTCAGATGGGCGTGGTCTCTCAGCTGGGCGTGGTCTCTCAGCTGGGCGTGGTCCCTCAGGCTTTCAGTGGGCGTGGCCTGGCCATCAGTGGGCGTGTCCAGGTGGGCGTGGTCCCTCAGGTGGGCGTGGTCCCTCGGGTGGGCGTGGTCACTCCAGCTCTCAGGGGGCGTGTCCATTGGCTCAGTGGGCGTGTCCCGGTGGGCGTGGTCTCCCGGGTGGGTGTGGTCCCCCAGGTGGGCGTGGTCTCTTGGGTGGGTGTGGTCCCCCAGGTGGGCGTGGTCCCTCAGGTGGGCGTGGTCCCCCAGGTGGGCGTGGTCTCTTGGGTGGGTGTGGTCCCCCAGGTGGGCGTGGTCCCTCAGGTGGGCGTGGCCCCCCAGGTGGGCGTGGTCTCTCAGGTGGGCGTGGTCCCCCAGGTGGGCGTGGTCCCCCAGGTGGGTGTGGTCTCTCAGGTGGGCGTGGTCTCTCAGGTGGGCGTGGTCTCTCAGGTGGGCGTGGTCTCTCAGGTGGGTGAGGGCGGCGGCCGCGTAGAGGGCGAAGCTCGGGGTCCCCGGGGGTCCCTGGGGGGTCCTGGGGAGTCTCCTGCCCCTCCCCAGCAGGGCCCCCAAAAGCAGGGCCAGGGCCCCTCCCCACCCCAGAGCAGCCCCCAGGCCGGGGACGAGGGGCTGGGGGAGGGGCAGAGAGAGGGGGAGGGGCAAAGACAGGGGGAGGGGCAAAGAGAGAGGGGAGGAGTAAAGAAAGGGGGAGGGGCAAAAAAGGGGAGGGGAGAAGTCAGTATCTGCCATCAAGGTGGGGGAGAGGAGGGCAAAGGGGGCATTTTAGGAGGGGTCTCCGAGGTTTGGGGGTCTCTGGGTGGTCCCAGATTTTGGGGTATTTTTGGGGTGGTTTGGGATATTTTGGGTTATTTTGGGTGGGGGTCTCACCCTGGCGAGGTGGGTCTGGGGAGGGGGTCTCTGGGGGGTTTGGGGTCTCTGGGTGGTCCCAGATTTTTGGGGTATTTTGGGGTGGTTTGGGGTGTTTGGGTTATTTTGGGTGGGGTCTCACCTGGCCAGGCGGGTTGGGGGTCTCTGGGGGTTTGGGGGTCTCTGGGTGGTCCCAAATTTTGGGGTATTTTGGGGTGGTTTTGGGGTATTTTAGGTTATTTTTGGGTGGGGGTCTCACCTGGCCAGGCGGGTCTGGGGGGTCTATTGGGGGTTTGGGGGTCTCTGGGTGGTCCCAAATTTTTGGGGTATTTTGGGGTGGTTTTGGGGTGTTTTGAGTTATTTTGGGTGGGGGTCTCACCTGGCCAGGCAGGTCTGGTGGGGAGTCTCTGGGGGGTTTGGGGGTCTCTGGGTAGTCCCAGATTTTTGGAGTATTTTGGGCTATTTCGGGTGGGTTTTGAGTATTTTGGGGTATTTGGGAGGGTCTCACACTGGCCAGAGGGCAGGGCAGCAGCACAAGCCAGGTGGGGTTGGGGGGGGTTTGGGGGTCTCTGGGTGGTCCCAGATTTTTGGGGTATTTTGGGTGGGTTTGGTGGGATTTTTGGGGTATTTTTGGGGGGGTTTGGGTTATTTTGGGTGGGGGTCTCACCTGGCCAGCAGGGGCAGGGCAGCAGCGCAGGCCAGGCGGGTCTGGGGGCTCCCACAGCGCAGCAGGTGGGTCAGGACCCCCACCCCGAACGGGGACGACGCCGACGCCCCCAAAGTCCTCAACAGGCTCTCACCTGGGGGGGGGAAAGGGGGAGGAAAAGGGGGGTCAGGGGGTCCCCAAGACCCCCAAACCACCCCCCCAAAATACTCAGGGAACCCTCAAGAGGGGGTAAAAAATGGGGGTCAGGGGGTCCCCAAAACCCCCAAAAACCCCCCCAAAACACTCAGGGAACCCTCAAAGAGGGGGTAAAAAATGGGGGGGTCAGGGGGTCCCCAAGACCCCCCAAAAACCCCCCCAAAATCCTCAGGGAACCCCCAAAGAGGGGGTAAAAAATAGGGGGGTCAGGGGGTCTCCAAGACCCCCAAAACAGCCCCCCAGGAAGCCCTGGAGACCCCAAAAAGCCCCCCAAGACCCCCCCAAAACTCACCCATCTTCCTCCTCTTCCTCCTTCTGGGTCGGGGGGTCCCAAAGAGCCCCCAAATCCCCCCAAACACCCCAAAATCCATCCAAAAACCCCAAAATCCTCATAAACAACCCCAAAACTCACCCATCTCCCTCCTCCTCCTCTTCTTGGGGTCTGGGGGTCCCTCTGGAGGCGTTTGGGGGTCCCCCAGCCCCATCCCCAGGTACAGCAGGGCCGGGATGTACCCCTTGACCAGCACCCCCAAATCCACCCCAAAACACCCCCAAATCCACCCAAAAACCCCAAAATCCTCATAAACAACCCCAAAACTCACCCATCTCTCTTTTCCTCCTCTTCTTTGGGTCTGGGGGTCCCTCTGGAGATGTTTGGGGGTCCCCCAGGCCCATCCCCAGGTACAGCAGGGCCCTTGACCAGCACCCCCAAATCCACCCCAAAAACCCCCCAAAAACCCCCAAATCCAAATCCCATAAAACCCCAAAACTCACCCATCTCTCTTTTCCTCCTCTTCTTTGGGTCTGGGGGTCCCTCTGAGGGCGTTTGGGGGTCCCCCAGCCCCATCCCCAGCTACAGCAGGACCCTTGACCAGCACCCCCAAATCCACCCCAAAAACCCCCCCAAAAACCCCCAAAAAAACCCCAAAATCCTCCCAAACAACCCCAAAACTCACCCATCTCCCTCCTCCTCCTCTTCTTTGGGTCTGGGGGTCCCTCTGAGGGCGTTTGGGGGCCCCAGCCCCATCCCCCAGGTACAGCAGGGCTGGGATGTCCCCTTGACCAGCACCCCCAAATCCACCCCAAACACCCCAAAATCCCCCCAAAAACCCCCAAAATCCTCATAAACAACCCCAAAACTCACCCATCTCTCTTCTCCTCCTCTTCTTTGGGTCTGGGGTCCCTCTGAAGGCGTTTGGGGTCCCCAGCCCCATCCCCAGGTACAGCAGGGCCCTTGACCAGCACCCCAAATCCACCCCAAAACACCCCAAAATCCACCCAAAAACCCCAAAACCCACCCAAAAAAACCCCAAACTCACCCATCTCCCTCCTCCTCCTCTTCTTTGGGTCTGGGGGTCCCTCTGAGGGCGTTTGGGGGTCCCCCAGCCCCATCCCCAGGTACAGCAGGGCCCTTGACCAGCACCCCCAAATCCACCCCAAAACACCCCAAAATCCACCCCAAAAAAAATCCAAAATCCTCATAAACAACCCCAAAACTCACCCATCTCCCTCCTCCTCCTCTTCTTTGGGTCTGGGGGTCCCTCTGGAGGTGTTTGGGGGTCCCCCAGCCCCATCCCCAGGTACAGCAGGGCTGGGATGTACCCCTTGACCAGCACCCCCAAATCCACCCCCAAACCCCCCAAAATCCATCCAAAAACCCCAAAATCCCCCCAAAAAACCCCAAAACTCACCCATCTCTCTTTTCCTCCTCTCCTTTGGGTCTGGGGGTCCCTCTGAAGGTGTTTGGGGGTCCCCCAGGCCCATCCCCAGGTACAGCAGGACCCTTGACCAGCACCCCCAAATCCACCCCAGAACACCCCCAAAAAACCCCCAAAACTCACCCAAACAACCCCAAAACTCACCCATCTCTCTTTTCCTCCTCTTCTTTGGGTCTGGGGGTCCCTCTGAGGGCATTTGGGGGTCCCCCAGCCCCATCCCCAGGTACAGCAGGGCCGGGATGTACCCCTTGACCAGCACCCCCAAAAAAGGGGGGTGGGCCAGGAGCCCCCTGAGCACCCTGAGGGCGCGGGGGTCGGGGCTGGGGACCCCCCCCAGGTACCCCAGGAGCGCCCCCACCACGGGGGAGGGAGGCGCGGAGGGCTCGGGGGGCTGCGCCAGCCGCTCCAGCAGCAGCAGGGCGGGGGCTTCGGGGCCTTCCTGGGGAGGGAGGACCCCAAAACCTCCGGGGCAGGGCCAGGACCCCCAGACCGGGGGAGGCGGCGGGGAGGGGGAGGGGCTGAGGGGAGGGGCAGGGGAGGGGGAGGGGAAAATGGGGGATTCGGAGGAGAGCCAGGACCTGTGGGGGGAGGAGAGAGAGAGAGAGAGGGGGTAGGAGGAGACCCCCAAAATGGGGAGAAACCCTCCTCAAAATGGGGAGAATCCCCTAAAATGGGGAGAAACCCCTCAAAATCCTCCCAAAATGGGGAGAAACCCCCAAAATGGGGAGAAACCCCTCAAGATCCCCGCCAAAATGGGGAGAAACCCCCAAATAGGAAGAAACCCCCCAAAACTGGGGAGAAACCCCCAAAATGGGGAGAAACCCCCAAAATGGGGGAAGCCCCCAAGGGAGGAAAATCCCACCCAAGGGGTAAGACCACCCTGAGGGTCCCAGACCCCTCCCCAAGGTCCCAAACCCCCAATCCCCCCTCCTCTCACCTGAGCCCCTCCAGCTCCCCTCTCCCACCACCCTGGGGTCCCAGACCCCTCCCCAATATCCCAAAGCCCCCAAATCCCTCCCCTCTCACCTGAGCCCCCTCCAGCTCCCCTCCCCACCACCCTGGGGGTCCCAAACCCCCTCCCCTCTCACCTGAGCCCTCCCAATGCCCAAACCCCCAAACCCCCTCCCTCTCACCTGAGCCCCTCCAGCTCCTCCCCCACCACCCTAGGGGTCCCAAACCCCAAATCCCCTCCCCACCCCCAAATCCCCCTCCCCACCCCCAAACCCCCTCCCCTTTCACCTGAGCCCCCTCCAGCTCTTCACTGCTGCCATGCTGGGGTCTCAGACCCCTCCCCAATATCCCCAGCCCCCAAATCCCCTCCCCACCCCCAAATCCCCCAATCCCCTCCCCACCCCCAAAGCCCCCTCCCCACTCACCTGAGGCCCCCTCAGCTCCCTCTCCCACCACCCTGGGGGTCCCAGACCCCTCCCCAATATCCCAAGCCCCCCAAATCCCCTCCCCACCCCCAAACACCCTTGAGCCCCCAAATCCCCTCCCACCCCCAAACACCCCTCCCCTCTCACCTGAGCCCCCTCCAGCTCCCCTCTCCCACCACCTGGGGGTCCCAGACCCCTCCCGATACCAAACCCCCAAATCCCCCTCCCACCCCCAAATCCCCTCCCACCCCCAAATCCCCTCCCTCTCACCTGGCCCCCTCAGCTCCTCACTGCTGCCATGCTGGGGGTCCCAGACCCCTCCCAATATCAGCCCCTCCCAAATCCCCTCCCCACCCCCAAATCCCCTCCCCACTCACCTGAGCCCCTCCCCAAGATCCCAAACCCTCCCAAAGCCCCCCAAACCCCTCCCACTCACCTGAGCCCCCTCCCAAGATCCCAAGCCCTCCCAAGTCCCCTCCCACCCCCAAATCCCCTCCTCTCACCTGAGCCCCTCCAGCTCCCCTCTCCCACCACCCTGGGGTCCCAGACCCCCAAATCCCCCTCCCCACTCCCAAACCCCCTCCTCTCACCTGAGCCCCCTCCAGCTCCCCTCTCCACCACCCTAAGGGTCCCAGACCCCCAAATCCCACCTCCCACTCCCAAACCCCTCCTCTCACCTGGCCCCCTCCAGCTCCTCTCCCACCACCCTGGAGGTCCCAGACCCCCAAATCCCCCTCCCCACCCCCAATATCCTCCTCTCACCTGGGCCCCCTCCAGCTCCTCCCCCCACCACCCTAGGGATCTGGACCCCTCCCCAATATCCGCAAACCCCTCAAATCCCTCCTCTCGTCTAGGCCCCTCCAGTTCCCTCCCCACCACCTGGGATCCCCAACATCCCAAACACCCCAGGGACCCTTCCCGAGGTCCCAAGCCCCCAAATCCCCCTCCCACCCCCAAATCCCTCCCTCTCACCAGGCCCCTCCCAGCTCCCTCGACCACCACCTGAGGTCCCAGACCCCAAGCCCCCCTCCTTTCACCTGAGGCCCCTCCAGCTCCCTTTCCCCACCACCCTGGGGTCCCAGACTCCTCCCCAAGATCCCAAGTCCTCCCAAATCCCTGAAGGCCCCCAAATCCCTCCCCACCCCCAAATCCCTCCCTCTCACCTGAGGCCCCCTTCCCAAGATCCCAAGCACCCCAAGCCCCCTCCTCTCACCTAGGCCCCTCCAGCTCCCTCTCCCACCACCCTGGGGTCCTCAGACCCCAAATCCCCTCCTCACTCCCAAACCCCCTCCCCTCTCACCAGAGCCCCTCCAGCTCCCTCTCCCACCACCCTGGGGTCCCAGACCCCCAAATCCCCCTCCCACCCCCAAACCCCCTCCTCTCACCTGAGCCCCTCCAGCTCCCCTCCCCACCACCCTGGGGGTCCCAAACCCCCCAAATCCCCTCCCCACTCCCCAAATCCCCTCCCCACCCCCCAAACCCCCTCCCTCTCACCTGAGCCCCTCCAGCTCCCGGCCGCTCCGTTGCTGCTCCCCTCCTCTCCTGGGCAGATCGAACGACGCAGCCTCTTCATCTTCCTCCTCCTCCTCCTCCTCCTCCTCCTGCTGCTCCCCCTCACCCCAGCCCCCCTCGCCCCCAGGCCCCCCATTCCCCCGAGCCCCCAGCGAGCAGGGGCACGGCCCCCATGGCGTCCATGGCCCTGAGGGCGGGGGGGTCGTAGGCGAAGGCCGCCAGGGCCAGCAGCAGGCGGGGTCTGCACGGGTGGGCTCGGGGGTCCCGGAGCAGCCCCAGCAGCAGCCGCAGCCCCCCCGAGCCCCTCACCCGTGCCCGGTTCACGGCCTCGCGGCACAGCAGGCACAGGGCACGCACCGCGGCGCGGACACGGGGGCTGCGGGGGTCCGGCAGGGAGCCGGGGGAGGGGGAGACCCCCATACAGGGACTCAGGATCATTGGGACCCCCACAGAGAGATTCGGGACCCCCAGAGAGAGATTCCGGGTCCGGCAAGGAGCCGGGGGAGACCCCTATACAGAGGATTCAGGGTCATCGGGACCCCACAGAGAGATCAGGACCCCAGAGAGAGATTCGGGGTCATTGGGACCCCCAGAGAGGGATTCGGGGTCATTGAGACCCCCACAGAGGGATTCGGGGTCATTGAAATCCCCTGTGAGACCCCCAGGGTCGGGGAGGGAGCCGGGGGTGGGGAGACCCCCAGAGAGGGAGTCGAGGTCATTGGGACCCCCATAGGTAGAGTCGGGACCCCCACAGAGGGATTTGGGACCCCCAGGATCCCCCCAGGGAGATTCGGGGTCATTGGGATCCCCACAGAGGGAGTCGGGACCCCCAGGACCCCCACAGAGGGATTCGGGACCCCCATAAAGAGATTCAGGGTCCGGCAGGGAGCTGGGGGCAGGGAGACCCCCACAGAGGGATTCAGAGTTATTGGGACCCCCACAGAGAGATTCGGGACCCCCAGAGAGAGATTCGGGGTCATTGGGACCCCCACAGAGGGATTCGGGGTCAGGGAGGGAGCCGGGGGCGGGGAGACCCCCATAGGGAGAGTCGGGACCCCCAGAGAGAGA